AATTCGAATTACTTTATTTAAGTTAAAGCTTAAAATTCTTTAAATTGCAACTTATTTATTTAACTGTAATACATCTGTTCAAATTGCATAGTATATTTTTATTGTTACTCTACTCGCTATTTAAATATAATTTTAGCATTTCCAGAATTATGAAACTTGAAAATATTGGTAGTTATATTCTTTGTAATTTCAATATTTTGGGTTTGATCTTGAATAACTTTAAATGGAATTTGATTCTTTGTTATTTCAATATGTTGAATTTGGTCTTGAACATTTTTGAATAGAGTTTGATCTTCAGCAATTTCAATATGTTGGGTTTGGTTTTGAATATTTTTGAATGGAATTCGAAATAGCTTGTTCAATTTTGCTTGAATTTCTTTATATATAAGCTTTGGTTTTTTTTATGAATAATTGATGTAAAACTTGTGTAGCAGTAAAATTATATTTGTGTTGCATGAATAAAGAATTATCTTATATTACTTGTTGTGTAGTTTGAAATTCCTTATGCTATGTAATTTGAATTTCATGTTGCATAACTTAAGACCAGTGTTGGGCTGGACATTTGGACATGGACATTGGACCACGCTTGTCCAGTCCAATCCAATCTATTGGACCAAAAAATATTGGACAATAATATATAAATCAGCATATTATTATTATTGGACATGTTGGACTGGACATATGTCCAAGTCCAATGTTCAGTCCAGTCCAATAGCATAAAAATAGTTGGACATATGTCTAGTGCCAACACTGCTTAAGACTCTTCATATTGTGTAGCTTGAGATTTATCTGGTTGTATAACTTAAAACTTCTCTTGTCACATAATTTGAGATTTTTTTGTTGCATAACTTGAGATTCTTCTTGTTGTATATCTCAAAATTTTTCTTATTATATAAGTTGAACCTTCTCTTGTTGAAATTCTTATTGTTGTACAATTGGAAATTCATGAAGTGCATTAAGTAATAGGGTAAGCTTTTTAAGGTGTTGTTTATTATTAGAAATTTTTTAAGTACATGGTTTATCAGTTGAACAGTGACCCAAAAGTTGCATCATTTTATGCTTATTATCATTAAGATCTAATAAAAG